ACGACTTGAGTCATCTGTGATGACCTATCTTATCAGTTTTTAAAGCAGTCGCATTCTTGACGTTCCGCGATATTATCCCAGAAAGAGGCAGTGATTTACCAGCGGCCAGAGTCCCGGGCCGTTTCCGAGGACACCGGGCCAGGTCGCGGGTAACGCCCGAAATATGCGGGGTAAATCTTGGGGCACCGTTGACCGGTCGCCGCATTGCTCAAGTCCGTGTACGCGATTGTGCTGGGGCGGTTATTGTAGGGCTGAAAGCAAAGTACAAAAGAACTGGCAATCCTGACTGAAATCGACAACTTGGCTAGTCAGACTCCACAGCCACGATGCTGCCTCATCGGTTTGGTCTCGCGATACTGGCTTTGGCCGGTGTCATAAGTGGTGCACCCAGCTTGCAGACTTACCCCATACCCGATGAGGTCAAACAGTCAACTTCGTACACAATCAACGTACGCAAGCCAGATGGAGAGTGGCAACCGGTATCTACATATCTCGTGAACCTCCATGAGATCAACATCACGACCGGATCTGCGATGGTCCACCCCAGCTCTCTGGCCATGTTCGATTTTGGTAACGACGTGGAAATCTCAGTCACTTACAATTCTGGAGACATCACGATTCCTCGCATTCGGCCAGACTCCTATGGTATCATTCCGAACCGTCAGGGAAACTCCCTCAGCTTCAACCTGACCAAGCCTACGGATATCCTAATTCAAACCACCAACTCAGTCTTTGATGTTCTGCACATAATCACCAACCGCATTCCCAAAGGCCTCCCGTCCAAAGATGATCCAAGCATCATCTACTACGGCCCTGGCTATCACACGTTGAACTCGACTCTCAATATCACCTCCGGCCAAACCCTTTACCTAGCTGCAGGGGCAGTTCTGGATGCCGCTGTTTCTCTCGATAACGCCACGTCAGCATCCATCCGCGGCCACGGAATCCTCTACCGCACACCCGTGGGAGCCATATCGGCACAGCGGTCGAAGAACATTACCATCGAGTCCATCACCGTCCTCAATCCGACTCACTACACTTTCAACGCTGCTGAAGCAGAAGACGTGACCATTCGCAAACTTCGCTCCTTCAGTGCAACTCAGTGGGGCGATGGCATTGATCTATACAGTAGCAAGAACGTCCTTATCGACGGAGTCTTTATGAGAAATTCGGACGACTGTATCGCGCTGTACAATCATCGCAATGACTGGTACGGTGACAGCACCAATATCACCATCCAGAACGCAGCTTTGTGGGCAGATGTGGCACATCCTATCAACATTGGCACCCACGGTAACTCTATCAACCCCGAGACCATGTCAGACATCACAATCCGTAACATCGACATCATGGACCACCGCGAATTTCAGATGGGTTACCAGGGCGCCATCGCAATCAACCCAGGGGACAGCAACCTCGTTAAAAACATTCTGATTGAGAATGTTCGTGTTGAGAATTTCAGAATGGGCCAGGTCATCACCATGATGGTGATGTACAACCAGAAGTACAATACATCACCTGGCCGCGGCATCTCCAATGTGACTATCAGGGATCTGGTGTACACTGGAGAAAACGCAAATACGGCTATAATGACTGGTTTTAATGAGAGTCGTAGCATTGAGTTCGTAAGGTTCGAGAACCTTGTCATCAACGGATTGAGAGTCAGTGATAGCATGAAGAAGCCCGGTTGGTACATGACTGCCGACTTTGTACCAATGTATGTAAATGAGCATGTGCGGAACTTGACCTTCATCTGAGGTCCCTTATCACCATGTGACCCAATTACATTTGAAGTTGGTAATAAGATTCCCCTCACCTCATACCCGAGACTTAGTCGCTTAGTAACACCCTGTGAAAGTTCATAGCCAAACTCGAGAGGAGAACCTAAAAGAACGGCATTTCCTGCTCCGCCGACTTGTTCCAGTGCCTAGCTCTAAGAGATGAGTATGGTTATATAATGCTCCCTCGACCCCTGGGCAGCAACACTCTCTCCCTCAGTGCTAACTTGCGCTGAAATTGGTTACTCTTGTACAATAAAACGGCAGAATTCTGGCATGATGGGAGCACCCACGACTTCCCGTTCCAGCTCACCGACGCTCAGTGTCCAGCCGTTCACTCCGTCTACAAACGTGTCTCACTGCTTCGTGGCCATCTGCTTTGGTCAGCGAAAGGTCCTCATTCAGAGGCCGGACACCTGGCACGACCTTCAGCAAACCGTTTGCAGACTGCTTGACATAGAAGATTCACACATATTCCGTCTGTACATCAGATGGAAAGATACGGAGGTGGAGCTTGTGAAGAACTCCTTTGAAGTGTTGAGTGAAGGCCATGTGATTTGGGTTCGATTCCCAGAAAAAGTTCTCATTCACATATTGGACGCCCGAGGTAAGTGGCTTCTGCTATCCGATGACAATATTTCTCACTTCTGATTTGTAGGTGACAAGTTTGTGATTGACAGTTGGGAACCATTTGGTGAGCTTCTTTATCGGTATGGAAATATGCGAAATTGCAAGCCTGGTACGTTCATTCTCACGCATGACGACAAAACAATCCGGAGTTCTGATACGGTCGAGTCGTTGGGGTTGCCTTGTGGCATGATTGAGCTTAAGAGGAAAGACATAAATTACAACCTCACAATGTAAGGGGCTCATAGCTTCAATCAGCAGTCACAAACTTGCCACTAAGATATTCTGTTCGCATGCGATTCAAGTGCTGTATGTTGAGACTCTTTGCTTCATGAGAAGTCCTAATACAATTATTTCGTAGCTCTCAAAAGGAAAATAAGGAAAATGTGTTTCCAATAAAGACAGCACCAGCGACATTAACTTAGTTAGAGAGCATCTCACAACTTGTTCCAAGTGAATGGATATAATCTCCGTCATCTTCTGATGTTTCTCTCTTCTTTAGTTGTCTTATTTGAACCTCTTCAATTGGAAGGGTTTATCAATAGATGCGGATAGGGTAACTGATATTGTCACATTTTGCAATCAACATTGATCCTTTGATATGATTCTGCGAGCTATATTTCTTCAGATATCCATCCTAATACTTCTGCTTTCAAAGGTTAGTAATCGACGTCGCAAGGGATTCTTCCTGGCTGAATAAATCTTGGACATTATCCTTGAAAAGGTGCCTGGGGAACAATTCTTTTGTGCCATCGACAAGGCCCCATCATGACCAGGCAAACTCTCCATCCTTTGACAAGATGTAATAATTCATGACTCCCACGGCGAACTCGCCATGCTTCTTCATAACCCACTCCATCCTCTCCCTCGTTCGCACGTTCCCCACTTGGTTTCCAACTAACCGGCATACAATATCTCGCATCGCAGAATGCGTCTCAATGGTGTCGCTGTACAACTCATCAACGACAGCAGGAAACTCGTCTGCGACCTCCCAACTCAGTTCCGCCGATCGATAGAAGCGTTCTCGAGCCAAGAGCTTGAGGGCTGGCACGTCGTACTTGTCGGCCATGACGTATAGACGCAGGTGCAAGAACAAGTCATCTCGAGCGCCATAAAGCTCCTTCTTTACTAGGGTCACTACGTCGCCGCCCGCTCCTTCGAATTGCGATAGCTTTTTGTTGATGGTGTCGTCTGCGTCGTCCGCGAGCTCATCGGCCACGTTCTCGCCGGAGAATTCATTGTATTCCTCTTCCGGCTCGAGGCCCGATGGCTGTCTCCTTATGTAGCCCGGGTCGAACCCCGAGGAGCCGGAGAAGCTCTCATCGTCGGTGACGCTAGTCATATCGTCCCCGCTGCCATCCAGGTTCTCAGCCGAGTGGCTATGGTGTCTGGAGGTGGTGGATGTCCTTCTTGGGACCTTTCTCCCCCTACGGGGATCTTCTACGCCAATCGGTGCGTTGAGTTCACCGGCAACCTCGTCAGGCTGCAACAGCGAAATCGCAGCCGGCTTCCCGAGCGTCGGCGTGACTCCATCGTCGTAGTTTCCCGTGTAGAGGAACTGAAGCAAGCGCCGGAAGATAGAGGGCTCATCGTCTGGTAGATCGATGGTTCCTGAGGCGGCTTCCTATTCGTTTTTGTCAGCTACTATTCCTGGAAAAGTGAGTTGGATGGGTACCTTGAATGAGGCGGAGAAGGCCTTGTCGAAGAAGGACGACTGGGGGCATACAATAGCCCGATGAGCCTTGAAAGTGCTGCCGTTGCAGGTGATGGTCATGTCGGCATACTTCTCGGATAGAAAGAGCCCAGAAAGCGCGGTGAATATGCACGTTGTGCGCAGATCGTCAACGGCTTCGCAGGGCTCGCGCTCGTATTTATCCTCATCCACAGGGTCTTGCTTGGCCTTGGCGTCCTTAGTCGGTAGTGGAATTTCCGCTTGGGGCGCCGCGGATGCCATATTGAAGAGCTCAGCCCAGTCTCGCGCTCAACGTTATTGTCGATTCATAGAATGTGTGAAAGGAAAGGAATCAGCGGGCCATGCTGACAGGGATCGAATTGGGTGCAGGGGCAGGTGGAGATTCATCAAACGGGCTGGCTGCCGGGCCGTCTGCATGATTTGACGGGCCGCAACAAGCTGTCGTCGTTCAGCAGCTGAGAATAATTAGCCATCGTCGACTTCGATCGTCCATGAAAACGTACAATTGGATTCGGCTTGTTCCTGGTTATTTCTTACCAGATTCCACCGTTGATTATCTAGGCTGCTCTACTGATATGGAATTTTCAGGTTGGAATTCAAAAGTGACCAAGTGGACAATGAGAAATGGTTCTGCCTGACACCGGCTTTCAATTGGTAACTGAGGGTATCTTGACGTGAAGCTTTCTTTGGTCAGGATTATGAGTAAAATACAAGATTCTTGACGCATGTCTCCTTCATCAATTCCCCAGAGCCATTGCTGGATGCTTCCATGCGGCGGTATCCACGACAAATTCAATCCCAAAAGACTTCTGGTCGAGTAAAGTTTCCTCCCTTGTCGGCAACCTTGAAAATATCTAGAGACAAGCTGCGATGGCAGCTTCTTGCGGCTGCTCGAAAAATCCTCAATCACACTTGATCGTAGGCCACATAGGGACAAAGAGGAGCTCCATGAGCATGCTTCCACCAGTTGCCTTCAGGGCCTCAGGAGTGTCAAAATCCTCAACTAGTACACCGTTGTACAAGAGCGCAACGTTTCGGGGGCGAAACTTCTCAAGCACCTTCCCCAGCGGGCACCAGTTGTCGATGAGATAGGTGTGCTCCATTCCGACTAGAGCGATTGGCTGTTAGATACGATCAATGACAGCGGGTGGAATTCGGAAGACATACCATCCTTAACCCGGACTAGAACGGTCTGCGCGACATCGACACGAAGAGAGTCATGACTGGCGACTAGGCAGAAGCAGTTCAAGTCAAGCTCGACTTCCTTCTGCATCCAGTTAGGAATGAAATAGATTCTGATTCTCTTGTCATCGGGGATGTAGAAATGGTCGCGAATGGCTCTGTCCAGCATGGCGTATTTGGCTGGCTTCGGGATCACGCGGGTTCTGGAACCGTGGGAGATGGTGATGAATTCCTGGTCCGTCGGCAGATGGGCATCGCTGGCCTCCTTCTTGATGTTGTCCCCCATGATCGGCGATGACCTCGTATTTCTCAATACAATTTGTTGCGATGTCAGGAGCGAAAAGCTTTCAGGTCTCAGGAAATTCGAGGCGAGGGCGGTTGGGTGGGGATGAAATAAAAGAAGGCAGCCTGGAGGTGCAGGTGAAGAAGGATTCAGACAAGACAACCTCCTGCCTCAGAAAATTTTGCAAACATCTGGGTCGGGTCGGGGTTCAGGTAGGCAACCTCGTCTTCACGAACGGTGACCTGGAGAGATTCCAAGTATTGCGTCTCAACTGACGAGGAAGGAGAGCACCTTCCCAAGTTCCTGTGCGCACCTGAGAATGGAACGGAGCTCCACGTTACAGCTTTGAGGAGATACAAAGAACAAGCGCTAAGTCTGAGAAATGAGAAACTATTTTTGCCCTTGGTTCCTTTTTGCAGCAGGCGTAGTAAACCCTGGGCTTCTCTGTGTTTCTGAAGTCCAAGACGATGGGACGCTCTTTGTGTATCGATAAATTCTTCGATATCAGACCTCAAATTAAATCTATAGAGGCTCATCAGATGAACTATAACCTAGATCGCATGATATCGCAAGGCGAGCGGACATTGCAGATATGTGTCGTCGAACGCATTTAATGTAGGTTTAGTGATGTGGTCTTAATGCAAGCGGGCCCCTGGCAACTCGTCATCAGACACCGGAATATCGGCCTTCGTGCCGCATGCCAGTTCTTCCCAAATTATCGGAAACTCGATTTTCTTGGTCACCTAGGTGCCCTTGCCTTGCTTGATAAGTGAGAGCATCATCTAAGTCCCTTCAATTCGATCTCCATCACGATGTTTCTCCGAGCCGAAATCCGAAACCGGCGCTAAGTGGGCCCCCAGCTTGACCTCAATCAACGTCATCCCAAATATCGCGACCATGCCGACAACCTCAAACCAAGCTTGGCACATTGTTCTGGGCAAGCGCACCTACATTCTCCAACCCTCGATATTACCTCTGCTCACGCAACAACCCCAGCATCAGGCCTGTTCTGCAGCCTCTCCCCACCCGTTTCGCCGCTGTAGGCCTGTTCAACTCACCGAACTCAACCCTCTATGGTTTTGCCGACATCTGCTTCACTGACCGTTGAGCTGATTGAGTTGTTTTGAGACGAAGGTGGTATGGCAGACTCGGTCCAACAGTTTCCGAGCACTCCGAGTGCCTCGGAGACCACTTTGAAGGATATCCTGCGATCTCGCCAACGCATGCAAAACGGTGTTCGGGGCAACCCCAAGTCATGCCTACCATGCCGTGAACGCAAGGTCAAGTGCGATAAGGGACGTCCCTGTTTGACCTGTTCAAAACGGGGTCATGCGGATCTGTGCAGCTACGAACCACGCACATCCCTTGGGGCCAGATCCCCCATTAGGTCCAGGACGCCGCACCCGCCGACTCGCAGTCCGGAACCTGACCGCAATCGGCACGATGTAACATCATTTTCAACGTCAGATACATATCAAGACCATACAAACGCCAGCCCGGGTTTCAATCCCGCTGCTTCTCCAAATACAGGCGAATCTTCGAGCCACAGGACTGCGGTGACAACCAATAGGGATGCCACTTTTCTAGCCGATAATTCAGTGGTGAACATGGCCCGGCAGCGGTCTCCCCGCTCACGAGATGATCCGGCCCGCCAGTCAGCTTTCGAAACCGGCATTATGCCACTCCTAGGGATCAGCGACGACACAGCATCGTCTGCGATGTCATTTAGCTCCTTGCCAAGTGACCAAGAGATTGTCCGGCTATTTGAGGTATTCCGGCAAAGAGCCCATCCGTTTCACGTCATAACGTACGATCTGGATCATATTGAGGCGAGAGCTTGCGCTCTTGTCACGTCTGGGCGTGTTACGGCCTCGGAATGTCCAGAAGACCCCCGGTGGCTCTGCCTGCTCCATGCGATTCTGGCGACTGGTGCTCAGTTTTCGGAACTCTCATTTCATAAAAGGCTGGCACTGTCGCAGCAGCACAGTGAGTCGTACATTTTCTTTGGTGTCTGAATGCGTCCCACTTCGCTCTCGACCTGACAACCTACAGCAAAACACGCCTTCGATCTTCTCAGATGCACCGACTATCTCGCGAAGCCAACTAAAGAAGCAATTCAAACCTTGCTTCTTCTTGGAAATGTGTTGCAAAACGACATGAAACCACAAGCAGCATGGGTTCTAGGAGGAACCACAATCCGTCTCGCCCAGTGCCTCGGCATCCACAAGAAACCCGACCGCTCGATGCCTGCACTGATCCCCCCAGAACAAGCCAAGTATCTGAGGTAGGTGCAATTATCCACGAATCTCTGACGAAACCAGCCTCACCAGCTACAGATTGGCCATCGTCTGGCAAGATGCTCTTCTGGCACTTGCGTTCGGCCGGCCGCCAGCGTCTCATGAGATGGATTTCGAAGAAGACCTACCACCTCTCACAAATCCCCCCACCAATGGCAGGATATCGTATCTGGAAGCAATGAACTGGCTATGTCACGTCACATTACGTCATGTATCTTCACGAGAGAGCCTTCCAAGCCAACCGCTGACCATGCTTGATGACATGCGTTCAGTCGAGATATCCCTGTCACCACACCTCACTGATCCACAAAAAGGGAAATCAATTCGCGAACTGCAGGAGTTTTACGCTTTCGAACTGCACAAGAACTTCGTCGTATCTACTCTTTGTCGACCGTTCATTTCTAGCTCTAGCGCTAGGCAGCTCGATGATGCTGACCGATCTGTCATTCTGGAACAGTTTCGAGACTCACTCCGGCGCAGTGTTCGAGCATACGTCCGATTGAGAACAATTACGGGCCACGCGAGACGTTCTTGGGCTTTCATTCATAATGGGCTCACTTCAGTCTTATTGCTCAGTCTGATGCGTGAAACGAGGTACCTACCGGAGACGCGGACCCTACAAGACGAGATGATCACAAGTCTCTCGGATTCTGACCCAGATTCGATGTCTGATAGTTCGGGGCATCTATCCGACACTCTGAAAAAGGCACTTAAAGCTCTTCAGACTCTTCAGCGTTTAGCGGATCGCGACTTGACCTCCCGAGGTCGCAATGAAGATGCGGTTAACACAAACGATGCACCACTGGAGAACAACTCTGGTCAAAACCCAGCTCAACAAGGAGATCAAGATAGGTGAGTTCTCATCTGAGCTGACGTTGAATATAGAAACTGACTGTGTAGCTTCTGGAATATGGGTGCGGACGACTGGTCCTTACCTTTCAACTTCGACATGTCACCTCTTGGTGCCTTTGACTACATCATGTCAGACCAGAATTTCTCTGGAGACTCATTTCTGCCAATCATCTAAGTATAATTGAAAGATCCCTATCAAAAGCTCTTTGGCTCCAGACTGAATGAGAAACGTATTTATCTTGCATCAGGCAAGTGCTTGCTGTATTTGCCTGCTGTGCACCATCATACGGGGGACCACGAAACCTCCTCAACATGAGCCAGATGTTGTTATAGTCATTGGCGGTTTTGTTAAAGGGCCTAGTACCATGCACGATAAAGGCGCACATGCCTGAACACACTGGATATGGCCTTCAACAAAGCATGACATGAGTATTAAGGTCCCAGCTCGTTCCCTGTGGTAATCTTTGACTTGCCTAGCGCGCGAAAGGTCTATTGTTTATCTTCTATTTTCTAGTAGTGTCTATAAATTTCTAGAAAATATGTAATGTATCCATCTTTGACACTTCACTTCCTCTCCGTGAAACCCATCGCCCCCCACTTTTGCAAAACCTTCTCTTGCACCTCAGTGGGGAAAGATTCCTTGAAGTCCGCTGCCTCCCAGTCCCTTCCGGTGGTGTACTCCGTAGGCATTAAGCAGTCCGAAACGACCTTTCCTCCAGTGTGCTTGTCCCCGTTTCCGTGAGACATATACGGAATCAGCGGGAACCCGCGGACCTCCTCAAAGTGATACTCATCCAAGCCGGGACGGCACCTCGTGCAGAACGCCCAGATGACGTCCTTGAAGTTGTATACGTCAATGTCCTCTCCAACAATGACGAGGCGGTGGATCGTGTAGCCGACCTTGTCGTTGAAGACGATATCACCGATCGTCTTGCAAAAGTCCTTGGCGTTGGTCTCCATCGCTCGCAGCTTCTCGGTGTCGACCTGGAGAGCGACCCATGTCACCTGAGACTCGAAGGGTGAGAAGGCTTCCTTGATGGGGACGCCCTTGGACTTGAGGAGGAATCCAATCTCGGCGGCGGCGAGGGGTCCGATCATTGTGTGCTTATCGTGTTAGTGTCTGATTGGATACATAGAGGGAGCAAGGCTTACTGTCTCGTCGGTGAGTCTACCGCAGTTGGAAACGGGCAGTATAGCGTCCTTTCGGTGTGTGATGCGATCGACTCTGTACTTTGGCTGGGGTCTGGCTTCGCCAGGGAAAACGTATCTGTCGTCATTAGCGAAGTTCACATGCCAGCCCTTGACCATCGGTCACTTACCCGTGCATTTCGCCAAATGGTCCCTCGGGCGCCGTCTCCGTTGCAGAGCAGACACCCTCAAACACAATCTCAGAGTTCGCTGGCACGTACAGGTCATTGGTATCACACTTCACAACTTCCAACGCCGCGCCGCCGAGCGAGCCAATGTACTCCGCTTCTGACAGACCTCCAGGCAATGGCATGCTTGCAGCCATGATTGCCGCCGGGGGCACGCCAAACACCAGCGCCCATGGCATATCCTTGCCCTCCTTCTTCCACATCTGGTGGATCTGCCAGATATGCTGCGGCTCGATGATCAAACCCGCCAGGTGGTTCTTATCATGCACCATAGCACGGGCAATGGACCAGTTCGTCCACTTCCCATCCGGCGACTGCACGATGTGCATTCCGTACGTCTGGATATACTTTCCACCATCGGACTGGTGCAGCATCGGGGCAGGAAGCTTCGTCAGGTCGAATTGATCGGGGGTGAGGCGGAACTCCTTGCAGGAGCCTGACTCGACGACGACGGGAGGGATGGGCGTCGCCGTCTTGGCGGCTACCATCTTGTCGAGGATCTCCTTCATGCTCGATGTAGGTGGAAGACCGAGGTGACGCGCCAGACGGCCGTATCGCTGCGAGGGGTCGGCACGGAGGGAGTTGGGCGCGCCGAGGATGCGCCAGAGGCCGTTGTCATCCTGGCCCTTGAGCTTATTGAAGAGAGGGGCGCGCTCGTCGCTTTCCACGACCTTGCGGATGATGGCGCCGACTTCGAGATTGGGGTCGCATTCTTCGTTGATCTCGACAAGGTCGCCGTCGGCTTTGAGGGCTTCCACGAAGGAGCGGAAGTTCATGTGTGGGAGGACTTGCGGGTTTGTCGAAGACATGTTCTGAGATTGTATGAAGTTTTGATCTATAAATGTTCTTTGAAATGATGAAGATGTAGTGAGTTTACTTTATGATGATGCTGACTTGCAACAATACCACTGACGCAGCCAAGCATCCATCATTTATATCTCGTGGCCATCTTGATTGCGGATGCCGGCAAGGAGGGAAGATGTGGGGCCGAATTCGCCGAGAGACGAAGTGCGAGGCAAGGTCCACTCCGATTTCCCCGAGATCATGAGATTCCCCATTACGAGCAAGTCCAGAAAGCTTGATTGGCCTTGGCTTTCGCGCATTATGTTCGATGATGCCGATCTTGCGGGTCTCGGACATTTCGTCGTTCGACGAGGTCACTACCGGCTCTCCGAACGAGCGCCGGTGAATCCTGATAAATATCCAGGGCCCCATCCCTTCATCGGACATATCCAGCAGAAGTCAACAGATACCCTCGAACGACAAAACAAGCCTCCTCATCAGCTGCGATTACTCAATCTTGAAGTACAATTTTATACCTGCATTCTTATCAACCTTTCGACAACTTTCACACAAAAAAAAATGAGAGACACTTACCCCCGCAAAAAGATCATAGTCGCCATCACCGGCGCAACTGGCGCTCAGATCGGCATTCACATCCTTCAGACCCTCCGTCGCCTCAACGTGGAAACACATCTCATCATCAGCAAGTGGGCCGCCGAGACAATAAAGTACGAGACAGACTACAACCCGTCCGCGGTGAAAGCTCTCGCGGACCACGCCTACAGCGCTCATGACCTCGCCGCGCCGATAGCAAGCGGGTCCTACCGGGTAGACGGCATGATTGTCGCCCCATGCTCCGTCAAGACGCTGGCCGCAATCAATGCAGGCATCTGCGACGACCTGATCACACGGGCGGCCGACGTGTGTCTCAAGGAGCGGAAGCGGCTGGTGCTTTCGGTGCGAGAGACGCCGTTTAGTGAGATTCATCTGAGGAACATGTTGGAAGTGACGAGGGCTGGGGCGATTATCGCGCCGCCTGTTGTGGGGTTCTATACGAAGCCATCGGGGATTGATGATATTCTCAATCAGATGGTAGGGAGGCTACTAGATTTGTTCGATTTGGATTCGAGGGCATTTGAGAGATGGGACGGGATGGGAAAGACGTCGTCTAATTGATAGCAAGAGAATTTGTATTATATTATACCAGTACATGGAATGATTCAAGAGAAAGACTTTAGAACTTGTTACATGTCGAATCTCTTGCAAAGGTGAACCCGTGTTAAAGAGCCCGCCTAACTCCCTTTACCCACATGGCTATGTTTCCTACGTTCTTACTTACCCCTACTGAAGACGAAGGTAGCGATAGCGTAACCACGGCGAGCGATGACCATTCAAGTAAGTATAGCAACGATAAACGAGAATAACAATAAGTATTACAATAACAACAACAAAGATGGTAACAACGACGACAACGGCGACCACCACGACAATCATAACAACGATAATGACGATAATGACGGCGACGATAGAAGCGACGATGATTACAGTAATAATAGTAAAGCCCCAGGAAAATTAGTCGATCTAGCATAAGTGAAACAAGTGATCTTGTATTAAAACGCTGATGTCTGGCCGCAGTACGTGTCCAGACCTGCAAACAGTTGATCCCAACCATGTGGTGTTGATGTGTCCCCTGTAATCCCATTCCAAAGCCCATCCAAGCCAAGATCGTCATTTAACATACCTACGTAATCAACGCCAAAGGCCATGTCTCCCACATTTAAGTATTTACTGGGTGCCGCAGGCCCGTCCTGAATATCAGGAAGACCTGGCTCGGGAGCATGCTCCGAATCCGACCCTTCGACGTCGTCAACACCTTGGATCCGATAGCGACGGAGCACGCAGGCCAGATTGCGAACTAGCCTCGCCGCAACAGCAGACTCTTCTCCTGCTGATGCTAGAGCACGACAAGCTTGGGCAACTTCAGCATGCGTCTCTGCTGTGGCATCCGTGATCGCTCCATCGCTTGGCGCATCTCCTCTCTGCTGATCGCGACTGGTGTTGAAGCCTGCGTTCAGAGCAAGAATGGTGCATGCCATGAACATGTGTCCTATGACACATCCCAGCCGGCGGCCCATGGCTCTTGCATTGTATGCACGAATGGGCTCTCTCTTCTGTGACCCCTTCAACAAGCGGATGGCAATTGACAAGACTGTTCGGGCTGACTTGAGGCAGATGTCGCGGGAGCGTTCATAAGTTGCATCTTGGGCATCATGAAGCAGGAAAGGTCTATGCAACCTGGCACGTCTGGAGTGGAAGCCGAGCAGCACGACGTCTCTCTGCAGGTGGAGATGAGGAGGCGCACTAGGTGAAATCGGACCGTCGGGACGTAGGAACTCCGGGAGCTCTGCGAGGGCATCTGCGAACAGGCGATCAAGTTGGGTGACTTGATCGTAGTTTGTAATCTCTGCATCAGGAGCGCCGGGTGTTCTGGCATCGATGATGGAACGGGTGATTTCGGCGAGCTGGATTCGTCGAAGAAAGCACGAGATACCAGTCGCCGTATCCGATGGGTGGTCGATGTTTTCGTCGGCTAGACTGTTGGCGTCGTCATTGATGTTGCGTGGGTACTTGACGTTCATCTGTCTCGGCTGAACGCTGTAAGTTCCATCCGTTGGCCCTCCCATGAGACCAAGCATCCTGAGAATAATTAGAGGCTAAATCCTCCAATCTTACGCTGCGAATACTGACCAATCTGTAGCAGCAATGTGCCACCACACGCGCCTTTTGATTTCCCTGGTGGTAGCATCGTCCTGTTGCTCCGAATTGGGAGAGTCAACAAGGTGGACCAACCCTTCCCGTGCAGAAGCCAGAGAACAAGAATGAAGAAATCTGAACCGCCCCGAACACCCCTCAAAGTTGTAAATCAGATAGGCTAGTATCGTTCTTGCCTGAACTTCTGCCAGACATCCGTACGTGATCTGCTGTGACTGATCAAGAATGTTGAGCGCAGATCGGAACCAGGCCAGAGCGGTTTGCGTCGCATCCTCGGACGAGGCAAAAGTGCTGAAAGCCTTGGAGTTCTCGTTGAAGAAGAAGGCACTGGTGGCGGCGATGCTGAGGATCAAGGCTGCCTGGGCCGCACTGGGGTCTTGACCTTCAGACAAAGTGTTGTAGAAAGTATCGATCATGGCCCGAGTCGTTGGCGCGTGAATGATGGGGAGCATGTGGAAAGGGTTGTTAGTGAAGTCTTCGAGAAGCGACATCGCTTCTTCACGGGTCATGAGCCAGGTCGATGCTCGTCCATCTACATCGTCTGTCGGTGTATGGCCTGGTGTCGTCGTGGACGGTGTTCGTGGGAATTGTGAGATGTTGGTGATGCGGTAATCCAGCTTATCGTGAGGTAGTGAGATCTGAATTCGTTAGCAAGGATCGTAGAGTATCATTCGGTCATTTCGCTCACGTTCAGGCCCTGCCGTGTGAACGTGGAGTCGAGAAACTTCGCTGTCTGCTGCCTCTCATTGATCGTCGCCGGTCTTGTCGATGAACGGGGCGGCGAAGGCTTCCGAGAGCCCATTACGACAGAGCTAACGTTTTGGTTTTCCATATCGTCAACGTGAGAGTCAAACATTGTCAAGGCTTGCTCCGCGGAAGGTCCGTTGGCCGCAGTGGGCCCGGAGCCGAATACAGCCTGCTCCAGCCTCCGGAGCCGGCCGAGAATGGAGTCATCGTTCTGCGGGCTTGGCATTCCAACGGCGAGGCTTTCTATACGTTAATAATGAACAATTATGTGGAAAGGCGGATCTCACCTTGAATTTGCGGCTGTCTTTGGCGGGCTTGGCTGTCCGGTGCAGGGCAACCCGCGCATGAGGCAGCTTGAGCAAGGGTCCCCACGGTCGCACTTCAACTTCTTCTTTCGGCACGAGTCGCACGAGACCTGCGGCTGCCGCCGCCGTTTCTGTGGCTCTTCCTGTTGTGACGCTGTGCTTCGCTTCATCATTCCAATGGGCTGTGGCCGGGTAGTGAAAGAAGTCAGCCAAGGACGACGGAAATGCTGATGGGAAGTTGAGACAAGGACGTCCGTGGATGCTCCACGGAGCGCCCTCCGCGGATTATCCGCGGCTGAGCTAACGCTACTTCACTACTGCGCCGGACCAGCACATTGAGCATTCACGCGATGCTTGATTTATATAAGTGATATTACCATCATGAGGATTTTGGGATTAATCGCTAGAAATTTACAATCGGCTCAAGAGTTATTCAGTGCCTTCGTTACCAAATTCGTTACCAAATCATCATGAACGCACTTCGGCCTCCGCCAGGTTACGACAGGTGTGTGCCTTATTCCCGGATCGTTCCCGACATCCTTGCCCACTAACACAGAGTCAGTTTCCGGTCATGGCTCGCTGTCTTTGGCGCAGCTCTCTCACTCTTCTGCACAGTTGGCTTCCTAAATGCCTTCGGCGTCTTCCAAGAATACTACCAACCGTACTTTGATAAGTCCGAATCCGACATATCATGGATTGGCTCGGTCTCTATTTTCATCCTGTACCTCTGCGCACCCGTGTCCGGGATGCTTTGCGACAAGGTCGGCCCCACGGTACGGACTTCGTTAGCATCATTGAATACCTCTGAATAGGGTACTGATATCCTCGAAGATCCTCTTGTGCATCGGTAGTATCGGGCAGCTCCTCGCCTTGTTCATGACATCTCTATGCACGGGATACTACCAGGCCTTTCTGGCCCAAGGCGTTCTCCTCGGCGTGAGCATGTCTCTCATCTTCTGCCCGCCAGTCGCCGTCGTCTCTCGCCGCATGCCCCACCGCCGTGGTCTAGCTCTCGGCCTCACCATCGGAGGCTCCTCTATTGGGGGCATCATCTGGCCGATAATGCTCGAACAACTTCTCAATTATCGAAAAATTAGCTTCGGTTGGACGATGCGAGCCATCGCGTTCACCATGATTCCATTACTCGGCATCGCATGTCTAACAGTCGTCGATGCACCCGCTATCAGGTCCCCGATCTCTCCATCTGAGCCCGCATCGGATAGCAACGAAAAAGCTGACCAGGCTATGGCCAACGACACACAATCTGAAAAGCAAACGGATTTTTCCGTTCTCAAGAACAGGTCTTTCATGCTCTTGTGCGGCGGACTTGCAATTGGGTACTTTGGTCTTTTCACACCTCTCTTTTACGTATCGGCCTTCGGCATCGCCCAGGGATTGACTTCCTCCACTGCCTTTTATCTGCTATCCGGGCTCAATGCCGCCTCTTTCTTTGGCAGAGTCATTCCCGGCCTCATTGCAGATCGATACGGACACTTCAATATGTGCGCAGTCGCTACTCTTTCTGCCGGAATTGTCGGGTTTTGCTGGACAGCCGCCACGACTCTCGGTGGCCTGGCCGTGTGGAGTTTGGCGTATGGCTTTTTCTCCGGCGTATGGCATTCCCAATTCGAAGTTTGCGGCATGTTCACTGACTCGTTTCTCGCCAGGCTGTCATGAGTTTGCAAGGAGCGTGTGTCGGCAAGATTGCCGACCACCGAAGCCAAGGTCTCGCGGTCGGGTTCATGATGGGATCCATTTCGGTGACGTGAGTTATTCTCCAACGCCTCAGATCCCTCGTAAATGCTGACTTTTGGATAACCAGTGCACTTGTTGGACCACCAATCAGCGGCCAAATTCTCAGTCATTCAGGATATCTGGCATTATCTATGTGGACAGGCGCAACTCTCGTTCTTGGCGCCGTAATTCTCGTGGTCGCTCGGTTGAGGTTGAACCGCAACATTTGGGCAGTGATTTAGACTATCGACCAAATGGTTCGGGTTGCTTTTGGAGAACAAGAGGAGCGCAATACCCAAATGTGGCTGGGCAATCATCAACGGCGCATCATATTTGGTTTTGTAGACTGATGGCATTTGAGCATAGAATACGTATGTTGCTTGATTGGGGATCATTCAGACAAATATACCACCTTAGTATTTCTCACCTATTGGTAACAGAAATTTTCGGACTCTGAGGCCGAACGCGGGGATAAGCTTAAGTGGTGACGCGTCAGTCGATGTTAAGCATGACCGATGGTGCGGAAATCTCAAGCCAACTTGACACTCCGTAGATAACCAACGACACACTAAGTCATTCGAATAATGAGCTAGGTATTGGAATCAATTAGATGCGGCTTCGCAAGAGGGAGGCGATCTGCCATTGAAGTATCAAAACACCAAGGCCATTCTCCCTTTTTGGCCTTCATTCCGCCTTGAAAAGCATGCCTTGGACTTTCGGTAAGTGGGTGACGACTATGTTTTCCTCATTGCCCACCTGGAACCGCAAGTCAACTACGGACTCCATCTCAAGATGTCGCCATCTTTACAATATTGTATCTGTAAAACACTACAGGAGATTGCCTCGGCGTTAGTTTTCCAAGCATAGCAGCCTCTTCCCGAGATCTGAACAATAGAAACCTAAGCGGACAACATCCGATAAGCTTACACGAGATGATTGCCCACCATGTAGAGTCAACTAGAGCCGAACATTAGCCATCCCTACCCTAGTTGATCGGCCAAAAGCCAAGACTGTACACGTACGATCACAGAAAATTCGATCGTGCACGAATAGGTTCGATGGGTTCGAGGAGTTCATCCCTATCAGTCCAGAACGTCAAAGTCAAAGCCGCATTGACCAGGGGCCCCTGTCAACAATCTATCTGATGCTTCGCTTCAACAAAAATTGAGAACACGCCGCCGGTGGGAGAGAGACTCCCTAAGCCACATACAGAAGCGCTGGGAACTTGCTTTGAAAACCATCATTTGGAAGGACACTTTGCTTTCGATATTTTTCTTGCGCATGGGGGACCTGTGTTGAAGTTGCTCACTGCATTGAATGCGCTACTAACAAAGTTCTAGAAGGAAAAGCCCTCTGCGCGCTCTGTGTTCCATTGAGTTCACTACGCGCGCAGAAGACCAACGGGATGGCACGGCACCACATCCCGCTCCTAGCACGCTAGACGCTTTTTGACGAGTGCGCTGGTCCTTCTCATTACGCTACAGGCTGGACCGATCGTTTGGACCCGACCAGATGGAATTTCGCTTTCGCATGTTTTAGCCGACTAAGCCTCAAAAAATTGTAGCCGTATCAAAGGTCAAGGGCTCTTCCGAGGCCGGTCGTTGTGCCGTTACCCTTCCCTACCTAGATGAAGATCATTCTTACCGCCCATTCAAGCATATGCTCGGAATCTCCCCGTCTCGGCTGCGCTTGCATCTACTCGAAACATTGTGTCTATGACGTATGGGCAGCATTTTGCATGGCTTATCACGACCCCTGGCGAGATTTGCAGTCATGCACCTTCGGAGCCGATGTTCGTCTCGACGGCGGTGCACGGGGCTGCAGGTGGTGAGTGCAGCCAACGGCGCAATCAGGATCAGACGAGATGCAACCCCGGCGCCTACCGCAACCTCTCAGGCCATTGGAACCCCATGACTAGGGCGCCGACCAAGGCGAAATGGACCAGACGGATATCTAAGCGCTGCTCGATCCGTCTCAGCCGCCTTGAATCACTGCCCTCTAATAGGAACTGGGGCCATATGGGAAACAGGGGGCATCTGCAAACAATTCCAACCAGGGCGAGTGAATACGGAAGTGTGCCCACTCTTGGCAGGTCAAACAAAGCAAAATGTCCGCTACCGAGAGCATGTCAACCGATCTTGGCGGTTCCGAAAAGACAAACACAGTTACGCTTCTTGTCAGATTGATTAAGGGGCCAGATCCATAGGCCGTTCGACAGTTTCTTGTTTCGCAACTCCTAAAGCGGATATGGCGGAGTAGCCCGGACACTAGTGTCTTTACTGCTGCTCTACTGAGTTTGTCCAATCAACGTGAACCTGCCATCGCATCAATTGTGGTGCTGCCCTTGTCCGAATTCTCCGCTGCTTCCCGCCGTTCCCACTCGGAATCATCCCTGTTCTCCACGAAGGCGCGAAACGTGGACGGAAATTAATGAGGAGAAGGGGTTGGATCACATATTCTCCTCTGTGCTTGTAGGTAGGCAATAGCATAACATCGTTGATTGAGTACTTAAGGTGAAATCCCATCCAACTCTCATCATGACTCCAGTTCTCTTGTTCTCCAGCTTCCATTTCATTCATTTAGGTTGACCGTCGGCCTCCGTTCTCTCGTTTTCGTCTAATCCAACGTTCGTTCATTCACTTCACAAGACACAGGATGTCCTCTTCCATTCTTTTCGCCACCGGCCTGCTCGCCGGTGTGGCTCAGGCCTACACCCAGGTCAACGTCGCCACTCCTTTCATGACCAAGAACATTGATCCCATCGTCTTCCCGGGCCAGTACGACAAGTCTCACTTGCACTCTTTCTTCGGCTCCGACGCCGTCACCATCAACACCAAGACCAGCGCCGAGCTTCAGAAGGGCTGCACCAACGCCGAGAACCCCAACGATCTCTCCGTCTACTGGATCCCCACGCCGCTCTACACCACCGACGGCGGCAAGACCTACGAGCCCATGCCCGTCTCGCGCTTCAGCGCCTACTACAACCTCGGCGAGACCCCTGCTGAGGTCGCCATTCCCCAGAACCTGCAGATGGTCGCCGGCGATGCTACCGCCATGACCGAGTCTGCCATGCCCGCCGATGCCCAGGTCTCATGGGCCTGCGAGAACGGCGGCGGCGGCTCCCTCGACGCCAACGGCTTCCCCAGCTCGACCTGCGGCACCCACCTGCAGCAGCTCCTCTACTTCCCCCAGTGCGTCAACGTCGACACCCTCGAGACCGGCTACAAGACCAAGCGCGGAGGCTCCTGCCCCAGCGGCATGAAGTCCATGCCCCAGCTGCGCTTCTCCATCCGCTACGATCTCCGCAAGGTCCTCCCCGACGGCTGGTCCGGTACTGCTCCCTTCAAGCTTGCCTGCGGTCCCGCCTGGTGCTCCCACGGTGACTTCATCAACGGCTGGACTGAGGAGGCCGCTACCAACATGATCGCCACCACCAACGAGAAGCAGAAGTTCTCCGCCGTCAACGGCAAGCTTGGCAACTACAACGCCGGTGCCACCTGCAAGGCCACCGACGCCGACCCCTCCCACGGCACCAGCGACTACGCCGAGAGCGTCAAGGCCATGTCCAAGCGTGAGGTTGAGGCCTTCGGCTGGGCTTCCAAGTCCCGCTTCGTCCAGTAAATTGGAGTCTTCGGAACCCGTCCACGAAAGACAGAAAAAAAACAGCGTACATATACCATGTCAAACATAAACTTCTTTGTATCATAGTTCGGAGCTGTGCACCTCTGGCCTTTGGCGCCAGGGTGCCGCGAGGCGGCTCTGAGAGGCCGGCCGAGCAACCAAAATAGTACATGCACTTTTTCAGCATCACCAAACATTTCGTTCCACGTTCAAAGATTCGCGTGATCCGTGACTGTGGATTGAGTTTAGAGTTGACTTGCCGAGCTATGATCTGCAAATGTTTAGCTGAGACGGCCTGCGGTTACGCTTACATGAAATGTGCCAGGATGGTGCCGGGGTAGCAGAGATAGGCGCGGGCGGCTCAAAATAGTGCGTGCGTCAGAAGGCCATCACATAGATCATTTTTAAAGTCATGTAGATAGAAAACATTCAACTTGGGGAGGGCGATATCTTGTAAAGTTGGCGCAACTGGCAGAAAGACGTCGTAGTTGCCAATTGCCGAAAAAAGAAATGGCGTCTTCATACCTGGCCGGATTCTCACTCAGTCGCCAGCAAATATCAAGGCAGAGGGTGAGAAAGGGGTTGGTCCACGAGTGGGAACGGGAAGGGGAAAATTCACCCCCAAACTCCCCGAAGTTCCGAGAAAATCACAAGGATCAAGGGACCTTGGGAGCTGGTCTTTCTCGGACTATGTCGGGCCGCCCATACCCTGAGAGCTTCATCTTATCTTATCAACAGTATCCATAATTCTCAGAGCCAATGTGGCTGATGATTGTGTGGCTCATGTTTTGTGGCTCGCCCAGAGATTACCGAAAAACCTTTTGACTCCCTGAGAAATGTTTACACGTTGAGCTCATTGCTGACGCCCTGACGCCCTGTACACCCCTTTACTTCCCTTTCCTGTCATTCCTTTCATCCACAATGCATTAATGTTCGCCCTGTTTCGTCTCTTGCACCCAATTTCCTTGCATTCATCTCCGCCGGGGCCGCCACATCAAGGCATAAACAACGCGCTCTAGCACCCGAGCCTCCGAACCTCGGCACCCCTGCCCGGGGCGGCAGCCGGCCCTTCGCCGGCCCATTGGACGTTCCAACCCTCCCTAGGCCGAGTCAGACGGCGCCATGTCCCATCAGTTCCACGTCGGCGGCGCAAGCCACGCCCTCCTGGATCCATGGGTTCACGGCGTCGGCGTGATGAGAGATGTCTTCTCCCGATGGTCCGAGCTCGACATCACGCAAATCGGATCCCTCATCGCCATCGCGGGGACCATCCCGACGGCCTGGCGGTTCCTGCAGCACGCCTGGCGCGAGGTCTACGGCTGCATCCGTCGTTTCTTCTTGGCTTCCGTTACAATTCCCGGAGGTGATCCCGTCAACCGCAGTGTCGTGAAATGGGTCTTTGCGAACCGGCCTCAACATTACCGATCCTTTACCGGCCGTACCGAGGTCGGTCGTGGAGGCGCTGATCGAGCTGCTGCGCTGAAGAAGACGAAGCATGCCGTGCAGTATTCTCCGCATTGGGACACGCGCTGGCTCTGGTTTGAAAGAAATCTGCTCGTTGTCACGCGCGCGGCTGGAGACTTTAGTTCTTCGTTATCCGACCCGAGTTACGACGGCATTGGCGGGGAGGAACTGACCATCAGCTGCTTCGGGTGGTCTGCGGAACCGGTGCAAAACTTCATCGAGACGTGCCGGGAGTATGCGGACAGACAGACTCAGTACTTCGTCATCATCTACTCCCGGGATCGCTATGGTCTGGCGTGGAAACCCAAAGCCCGGAAACCCTTGCGCCATCTGGATACCGTGCACTTCGACAACGAAGTCAAGCAAGACCTTCTGGCCGACATACGGAATTACCTCGATCCCAAGACGCAGATGAGATATCAGAGCCGCAGCATGCCTTACCGCAGAGGATATCTCTTCTACGGACCCCCCGGGACTGGAAAGTCTTCACTATCAGTGGCCATCGCTGGCGAGTTTGGTCTGGATCTCTATGAAGTCAAGGTACCCAGCGTTGCAACGGACGCAGATCTTGAGCAGATGTTCCAAGAGATCCCACCGCGGTGCGTCGTTCTTCTCGAAGACATTGACGCCGTCTGGGTCGACCGCGCCAACCAACAAAGCACAAGCGGAAGCGGCCGATCTCATTCTCCTGATAGCAACCACTCGCAGAACTGCACGCTTTCAGGCCTCCTGAACGTCTTAGATGGCGTCGGTTCACAGGAAGGTCGCATCGTCATCATGACCACCAATCGACCCGAACAACTTGACAGCGCGCTAGTCCGCCCGGGACGAGTGGACATGAAAGTTCTCCTCGGCAACATCAGCCAGAAGTCTGCCGAAGAGATGTTTGTGCGCATGTTCTCGCCCGACCTGGGCAGCACGTCGCTCCTGGACATGGGCGAAATTCGCGGGTTGGCCGGAAAGTTCGCCAGCCACATACCAGACAACACATTTACGCCCTCGCTGCTGCAGGGTTTCTTTCAATCACACTTGGACAGCCCCCAAGATGCTGTCAACAGCATAGCGGCGTGGGTAGAGAAAGAATTAGTCAAGACTCCATACAAAGAGTTTGAGTTTGTGCACCCCAACGGAAGAGCATAAGCAGTTGTATTATTACTTGTACCATAGATAGATTATTTCCTTACTATTACAGCACACTAGACAGCGTCGTAGGACTTTAGCAGCGCTCCCCGCAAAGCAATCAAGTTAATTATAAGGGTTAAACTTAACTTAATTACTATATCGTAATACTATACTTAATTACTTATAATTAATTATAAGTAATTACTAAGTAAAGCTATTTAGAACCCCCTAGTAATAAAATTATACCCTTTTTATACTATTACTTTATATATTAAAGTATTTCTAATATTTCTACTTTTATTATTAGTTTCTATAAGGTTTAAGTAAGAGATATAGTACTAAATACCCTCTTATAGTTAGATAATTATAAAGATATTATTAAGATTAATAATACTAACTTATTTAGCTAAAGATATTCCTCTTTATAAGTAAACTACTAATTAATAAGATTATAGTTAGTTTACTTTATAAAAGTAAAATACTTCTCTAATTTATCTATTTCTTTATTATCCTCTTTTTTATTAAATATTATAATTTTAGCTTAAACTTATTACTTAAAGTTATTTAAATTAAGAAGTTCTAAGTAATAATTTATATTCTTAATATTTTCTCTTTTTTTAAGAAGATATTATTAATTAAAATACTTCTTTAGAACTAATTTAATACTAAATATTTATTTTTATTAGTAAAAAGATTACTAATTTCTTTTTAAATACTTTAAGTTAAAACTAAAGTAGAGGAGTAATATAGTAGTATATAGAAGTAACTTTTTTATTAATATATAATATTTATCTAGCTTCTTTTATTTATTATTAATTAAAATTCTTAAATACTACTAGTTACTACTATCTATCTCTTTTAAGTTTAAAATATTATTAATATATTCTTAATAAGTATAAATAAATAAAAAGTTCTTATTAAACTATTTCTAAGATACTTATAATACTTAAGTATATAATAAGACTTATTAGTTTACTAAATAAGTAAATCTCTAAGATATTTCTTATAAAAAAGTTTAAAATTTATCTAAATTAAGATTTTAAATATCCTTATTACTAATATTATTATAGAAAAGTTTCTATTTCTTAAAGTAATTTAAAAGATATTTTATTATAATAATTACTTCTTAAAGTTTACTATAAAAACTATTTTCTCTAAAACTTTATATTTAAAATATTATTTTCTAAATAAGTTTTAAGATTATTATAATTTCTATTAATTATAGCTAGTTATTAGAAGTTAAAATATCTTAAACTAATATAAGATCTTTAGTATTTTAAAAAAAATAAAAGTTTTTTATTTTATTTTTAAACTATATAGTATATTTAATTATAAAATATATAAAGTTTTACTTTATAGTATTATCTTAGATTAATTTAATTTCTTTAGATATTTATTAAGAGAGAAAAAAGCTATTAAACTAATTAGAAGCTTCTAATATCTTATAAAATAAAATCTTAAACCTCTATAAATATTATAGTAAAGCTTTAATAAATTTTATAATATTATAAAGCTTATTAATAAAGCTAGCTTTATATTAATATTTAAAATTAGCTTTATCTTATTATAAAAGAATATATATATCTAACTATCTCTTAAAACTCTTAAAGTCCTTACTAAATAAAAAAACTTTTAATATAAAGTTAAAGATATATCTAAAGTAATAAATCTTTTTAGTTTAAATATCTTATTTTTTTTTAGTAGAGAAGTTAAGTTAAAAGATTAGACTTACTATATAAGTATTATTTAAGTTTATATTATTAGAGATTAAAATCTTTATTTAATTTATAATATTTTAGTTTCTAATAATCTCTTTAAAAGTATTTATAAAGTTAATATTATTATAAATACTAATTTACTTCTTTATAGTAATTAGATATACTTATAAGCTTTTTTTTAATAATAAAATATATAGTAATATTTATAATAGCTTAATAACTTAGAGAGGTTTATAGATTAAAGCTAAGATATATCTTAAAATTAGTATATAGAAGTTTTTACTAAATAACTATTTTCTATTATTTTTATATACTTTTAAAAGTAATAACTATTAAAATACTAAATTATAATAATATTTATAGCTTAATATTAACTTTAGAGATTATATACTAAAAAGTAAAACTTTTATAAATAATAAAGGGAAAATTAGTATCTATAATTAAATATATAGTAGTTTTTTAAATATTTTTTATATAGTTCTTTATTAAATTAGTAAGGCCTTTAGCTGTTCACTATGATTTTTACCTGCTTAGAGCAATAGACCTCCTAACTCTACGCCTCCTAATAATATATATAGCTTTTAGTCACATAATCGTAACTCTCCTAACCTTAGCTACACTTATATATACACATTATATTAAATAACTTCACTATCTTTAACTTCACTTTAGTAACAATATAGTTTATAATTACTT